CACTACGTCGTGGCTAATTAAAAGAAATCGTCAGATTTCAAACGCAAGAAATTCCAAAAATATTCTTTGTAATAAATCTCAAAATCAGACAATAATAAAAAAAAATTAACCAACAAATTTTCCAGAACAGAAAAACGTGTCCGCACGCGGCAAGTCGAAAACGTGGAAGCAGGAAAAATTAAGCACATGTCGCATTCTTCGTCTCTCCCCTCTTTCCTGGGTCCGTCGTTAGCTTTGAACTCCAGAGATGGCGCCGCAAGTCTAATTTCCCAATATCGACGTTTTGAGTGATGCATTGGCTGGAGCATTGGCGCGCTCGACAGCCAGTTTTCCGCCTTCACGCATGCGTCGATTGCTCACTTCGAGTTCTTATATGTCCGTCGTTCCAGCGCGTTCTCGAGACAGCCATCCGCCCGTCGTCGATGATCTTGTAAAGAATCCACGTCGGTAATCCTCGCTGGTCTCTCTTCGCGGGTTCGTGACCGGTCATAAGTACCATTCTTACAATTACAATTACTTAAAGCTAACTTATTTGCTAAATTAAATTCGTAATCCCAATAAATTTTTGTTTCGCGCGCAATCGAGCTTCGGTCGCATTTTCTCGCGCTAGGGCGACTCGGTCGCGGCGAATCCAACCAATGGACAACAATTATCTCTAGCGCTCAATGTAAATTTTCTTTCAAAAAATTTTTAAATTCAAAAAAAAATTAAAATTATCAACAATAAAAAAAAACGTCTTAACAGGTGGCGCTAAAAGCGGCCTGTTACAATTTGTATATTTGAAATATGCTTATTTATGTTGATTATATGTAATAAATTAATAAGTAATCGATTATGGAACGTAATTTAGCTCTCTTTTCCCGACGTACCCTAAATGCTTTGTACATTATCAACAATTATGTACTCATGGTAGCTTTCAGGATATTCTCATAAAAAGACTCCTTTTATCAATTATATATTTTTAAGAAACTTTCCGCCGATAGATTGTATAATTTTACAAATAAATATGAACTTCCTAAATACAAGAAAAAAAAAGTGGAAACATATTAAGATCATTTTGATTTATCTGTTTTCTAGTTTTTTTTATTTTTTTTTTGTTTTTTACTTCTGTTATCTATTTTTTCGATAGTTAATACTTATAATGCTTCATAGTTAAGAACTGTCATGAACTCTGTAGTTAATTATTTTTGAATGAGTAAATTCAATTATAATTTCACTCAAAATGAGATTTAGTCCGATTGAATTCTCATAATATTTTACAATTATAACCACTATTCAAGTAGACTCAATAATATAAATGACATCTATGATTTAACATACTCAAGTTATAAATTTAATTCATCATATTTTTATAAATATTTTTTTGTTAAAAGAATTTTTGATCATTAACTGTCGTAAAGTATTCGATTCATTATTGAAAAAAAGCAAGTAAATATCTAATCTCCATAAGGCAGGTTTCAAGACATAATTTTGTGTTAGTTATGGACTAAATCAATTTTATAGTGGTGAACTGTATGTAAATCAATTATCGTCATCTTATGAGATTTTTAATTTCTAATAATAAAATATAGAATTCGTTAATAAAAAAATTACCTGTGATAGCTGTTTTCAAAATGTCATAATATATACTTTTAACCTTAAAATACGATTATTTATCATTACAATAAAGTTTTGCATCCTCTTGATAAATAGTAAAAGATAAATTTCCACAGACTTATTTAATAACCTAAGTATTTGTTAGATTTAATTAATTTTTCAGATTTCATTCTGCAATTTAACCATTCAAATTTTAACCATAAATTGATATATGGCAGGTTTCAGGACCCAATGTGTAATTAGGTACTTATATTGGTACTGCTAGAAAGATAAAAAATTTTTTCCTTCTAATTTATTTCTCATGTGATTAAATTAAATGAATTATTTTTGACATCAATCAAAATCAATAGTACACTAGTAAATATTTTAATAAAATCAATTGTAATTTTTTCCCAGTGATGCACTCTTAACATGATGTATCAATTTTTCCGTGATGTTAGTTATCAGGACACGTAAATAAAAATTTTATTCTTAATTATAATAATTTTTGTTTATGAAAATTTTCTTCAATAAATGCAGTTTTTTAGCTTGAAACTTTATATCAACAATATTCTGGAGAACGAACCTAAAAAAATTTATTTATGTCCCTCCTAGGGATGGTAAAATCGATTCCGATTCTACCCGAGAATCGATTCTGTGGTCAAAAAATTCGATTATTTAGACTCGATTCCCATTTATCAGAATCGATCTAGAATCGTGTCACACGAATTTTATTCCTGTGTGCGTCCCTCCCTGCGCCTAGTGTTGGCAACAGATCCACACTCAGTGTCCCATAATTTCAATATTTTTATGTGAATTTATATACTGCATATTCTTTATTATTATTATATTTGAAAGGTTGTATATTATGATTATTAGTAATTTAAGAATTAATTTTACATTTGTTTCAGATATTTTTAATGAATTATTTGTGATTCATTATTATCATTATTATTATTGTATGTATCGCCGTAAATCATAGTTATAGTACCTGGTTATTATCGTAGCCTTTACTCGCACGGGTGAAATCCTATAATATCGATCGCGAGCAAAGGGTCTATTAAATTTGGGAAAATGGCTAAAGAGGCCCTCGTGGTCGAACACGAGGCCTCGTACGATTTACGGTAACAAAAATTAACCAGACACGCGGGAGCCCGCTTAGTGTGTGGAAGACACGCGGTAGCCTGCAGAGTGTAAGAGTGTGGATCTGGCACCTTTGTTCGAGTTTCCTCTTTCTGGTGAGTACTCACAAGTTGAGCCATTTTATTAACCACGCGCCGTGCTGTCTCCCGGCGAATAGATTAGTGTTTGAAGCCGGTATTAATTATTCGAGCCAGCCAGTATTATTTATTTATTTTGTTTTGTCGAGATAACCCGACTGGGGATTTCGGGTATATCTCACTTCAATAATATTTGGATACAATTTCTAATTTATAACCAGCGTCGTCGCAATTTAATAATATACTCAGGATTTATATTAATTATCAATAATTGTACGCGACAAATTAATTATTATTGTTATTTTATATAGTTCACCCGGCAAAGGAATTCGGCTCTGAACTTAGCTTAATTATTTTGTGTTTTGAATAAATAGCTTATTTTTTTATATATATTGCGACTGATTATTAAGAATTTGCTTTTATAAATTTCTTTCTCCTTTCTTTCCTGATATTTGTACGCTCGTTATCTATCCGCTTGAATACCTGTGGATCGGCCTTGAAAATAAAGGGTTTGTTGTTTCCCTAAGGAAAAGAACAACTGGCGTCCAAGAAGATCGTGCACTAACCCAGCCTGAGGAAGAGCTGCTGGTTGCTTGGGAGGCGAAGAGTTCCCTCCCAAGTCATATTTTTATTTGTTTAGTTTTGTATTGGGCGACCTGGACAAAATCACATATCCGCTGACCGCTCCACTGTCAGCTGGAGTGTAATTTTTGTTACAAAGTTGCAGTAGTGGATCAGGAGCCAGTCACTTCGGGCCTTGATCAGGAAGTACGCAGTGAGTGTTAGAGATCGGAATCTTCACCGCCCCGAGCGAGTCTAGTCCGTCCGTGTATTCCGGGACTAGGGATGGTAAAATCGATTCCGATTCTACCCGAGAATCGATTCTGTGGTCAAAAAATTCGATTATTTAGACTCGATTCCCATTTATAAAAGTATTGTTACAATCGATTCTTAGTGATCGATTCTATAATTTATTTTAATGCCGGAATAATTACACGATAGTATCAATATATTCAATAAAAAATGGTCCAAAATAATTGTCTATTTCATTATGAAAATATTTTAAATTTAGCGCTTTCTGTGCGCTCGCATCGTTTTCTTTATCCTCTTTTTTTTGCCAACCAATCATCTTACAAATATTTCGATAACATATATAGTTCATTTTCTCTTTGTTTCGAATAAGATAGCACTTTCTATATTAAGATAGATATATGTATATTATATTAATTGTAATATGTAAAATGGCGCCTAGCCCGGTATGGAATTATTTTAAAAAAATTGAAAACGGAAATAACGTTAAGTGTAATGAATGCAATAAAAATTTAGCATATAAAAATAGTACGTCGACTTTAATTAAACATTTAAAAACAGTTCATAAAATTGAACTACCTAATTCGTTCAGCGAATCAAAAAAAAGAAAAATATCAGAGCAAGACAGTGACAGTGACACAAGCTCGGTTTCCCAGCCTAAAAAAGTAAATATTAATGTTTTTATTATTTTCTGTCTTCTTTTCCGTCACGAATAAAATTTTGAATCTACTTATTAATATTTTACTTTGAATTATTTATAGATTAATTTGTGTGGCACATCAAATGAACTAGTCCCAAGTACTTCCTCATCATCTTCAGGTTTAGATCTCAATGAAAAACCCATCTATCAAGGTCCTCTTAACCGATGCTTGAACAATGTAATTTCATTTTCAGGTAATGAATTTATTTATATACAAACTATCCTCATAAACAACTGAGTTTTTACTTAATATATAATTTAAATTCATAAATATAAATATACATATGTATATTTGTATGTGCATTCACAGAAGGAGGGTACAGAAATAATGATGTCACAAATGCATTAATGTACATGATTGCTGTCGATAATCTCCCTTTGTGTACACCAGAAAAACCAGGCTTCAGGATGTTCGTTCGAAAATTACAGCCACTTTATAAAACGCCTTGTGAGCCTACAATAACAAAACGAATGACAGCGAAGTATGAAGAGCTTAAAATTAAAGTGAAAGCTGAACTCCAAAAGGCAGATTCAATTTGCCTTACAACTGATATTTGGACGCACCAACACACGATGCGTAGCTATCTTGGACTAACTGTTCATTATCTAAAAGGTAAATTTAGGTGATTATTCGCTAATTAATATTGATTTATTTCAATTATTTTGTTATGTTTATCCGTATAATGTAAGTGATAATCATAATTTTAATATAATTAAATTTCATTAATTAATGAATTCTAAGTTTTTGAATAATAATAGATACACATCATATAAATTATACGTATATTTCTATAACAATTATAATAATTAATATTATTTATTTTGCAACTAATAATAACTCAACACGTGTATAGATTAAAATATCAATTTTAGTTATAATAATATATTAATATTATTATGCTAACCAATTGAAAATTATTTTTCAAATAGTAATATAGTACAACTTATAAAATAATTTTATTTATTTCTATTATAATTATATTTTTTTTTGTTCAAAAGGATACGAAATGAATTCGTACGAGCTTGGTGCCTATTATCTACGGGATAGAAAAACTATTGCTGTTCTTCGGGTGAAGCTAAGAGATATTTGCAATGAGTGGGAAATTGATGATGATAAAATAAGTGCAATTGTTTCTGATGGCGGAGCAAACATCAAAGGTGCAATTAAGGAAGAATTTGGAGAGTCTAAACATATTTCATGCTTTGGTCACGTTATCAATAATATTGGCCAAAAACTCATAGAAGTTGGTACATCTGAGCCCGCGTCCGAATTAAGTGATGATAAAATTCATCATTTATTCGATGATGAAAGTGATACTGAAGAGTTTTTTTGTGAAGATTCTCAAAATTCTTCAGTGAGAAATCTTATAATGAAAGTTAAGAAGATCGTTAAGTTTTTTCGCTGCAGTGAAGTTGCGTCTCGTGAGCTAGAAATTTTGCAAGAGCAGGCTGGGTGTAAGTCAGCGTTAAAATTAATTCAAGAAGTCAGGACGAGGTGGAATTCATGTTATGAAATGGTAGATCGGTTTATCAATTTAGCCGAACATGTCAATTGTGCACTTTTGAAAGTTCATAGAGACAAAAGTTCGCGGTCGAAACCTCCTGACATTTTAACAGGTGATGAGCTTGATGCTCTGATTGAAATACGAGATATCTTGAAACCGTTATGGAATGTAACTCACGAAGTCAGCGCTGACAAGGAGGTGACATTAAGTAAATGCATCCCATTAATCACTGGATTGAAGCGAGTAAGTAAATTTTTCTTTACCTATTAATACGTCGTTAATCAAAAGCAATGTTTTCAATATTAAAATTTATTTTATAAAAAATCCTGTAACTCGCTTAATATTTGTTAGTAATTTTTATTTCATTTAAAAATGTATTATAACTACATTATAAAAATCTAATTTTAATACTTCGTTCATCTTGAATTTTCAAATTATTCTACAAATAAATTGGAGAATTATCAACCGCCATAATAACAAAGTTCTACGATTAAAATTCTCTCTTAACAAGTTTTATAATTTTTTTTTTCAGGGAACCGACAAACTTTGTCCTGTGACATTAATTGGGCAACAAATGAAGAAAAACCTAGTAACTGAAATAAAACAAAAGTTCTCAAATATAGAGTCAGTAAAATTGTATTCGATTGCTACTCTTTTGGATCCGCGATATAAAAAAATTGCTTTTCAAAGTATTCTAAATTCAGCACGCGCTGTGACTACTGTGGGTATGTTTCCAACATGATGTGTTTCAGTATTTAAATTTGTAGAAAAACAAATCAATTTATTTTACTAGGATTCTTCAATCGGATTTCGTCCAATTCAAATATTTGAGGAAATTTTTATTTTCATTTGTATATGATCTTAATATGGTATTGGAACTTTGTTTGTATAGGTGAAATTTTGAAAAAAGAAATTAAGTCATCGAAAACTCTTGCGATTGCCTGCGAAAGTAATCTTACAGATCATCAACCATCTTCAGATGGTAATGATCTGTGGGATTTCTTAGACGACGCTGTGCAACACAACATTCAAGTCGCTGACAGTGATGAAGCAGGCGGTTTGCCTATCGAACTTCGCCAGTTTATAAATCGTTCTACAGTAGATCGGAAAACTAATCCGGACCCGATTGAAACTTGGAAATCACTTGAATCAGATTATCCTTATTTGTCGATTGTAGCTAGAAAACATTTGAGTATTGTTGCAACATCAACACCGTGTGAACGCTTATTTTCACACTCGGGTTTAATTGCAAATCAGCTCAGGAGTAGACTATCACCCGATCATTTGAATATGTTGGTTTTTTTAAAATCTATCCCTCAATATTTATGGTTTTTATAATATTATTTAATTAATTATTCGAATAAAATACTAATTTTATTTATAATATCAAACGTTACTTTTTAATAAAATATAATATTTTATAAATTTGCATTTTATTGTACCTTTTACTTTATTAAACTAGTTTTATTTCTTAAAATTAAAAAAATCTATAAAATTTTTAATTAAAATAAAAATCTTACTCAGAATCGATTATTTAAAAGAATCGATTCTTGAAGTTGATTAATCGATTCTAAGAATCGAAATTTTTGAAAAAAGAATCGGAATCGAGAATCGATTCTTCAGATAATGTTTCCATCCCTAGTCCCTCCATAACCATGCATTGACATTAAAAACCATGAGGACACCACTGCTTATTCTAAATACGCGCGTAATTCAAAATGCATTTTTGCGAATACGAAAATTATCCTTTTCTAAGTTCTTTTTTTATAGTTATAATTTAAACATTAATAAAAGTTATTTTTAATCAATTATTATTGAATAGTTAATTTTTTTTAAATAAGAACTAGTTTTATTTAAAATAAAAAAAAGAAACAAATAATTTATGCTTTTGAACCCCTCCACTATAGAAAAAATCTACCTTACCAATTCTTGGTTATAAACCATCCAAAGCTCAAAGTTTAGCCAAGGGAATAACTATAAAGGCGTGTCTACACATGAATTCCGAACACTCCTTTTTTCCGAACAAATGTTACTAGATTTCTAGTAACTTTGCTTCCCTTACCTATAGAAATTCAATCCTGAATTATAATACTAAACCTGAACGAAAAAAAAAATATGCTAAATAAATTGGCGGACTCTAAGCGTCACTACGGCCATTTTATCGTTGTCTACTGATGCGGATTTTATTCAGAACATTTTGATATCACTGACAACGAAAAAAAAAAAAAATTTTATCAGTAAACAACTGTGTGAAAATACGATGACGATATTTGTTTTGGTGCGAGATAAAAAACAGGATTATTGCGTTCATAAGAAACGTCATATTTCCTTTGAAAGGCGACGAGATCGAATTTGTAAAAAAAAAATTAAAATAATTTGTGAAAATGGTATGTATTTTTAAATGTTGAAAAAAAGCTGTCCTATCTTTGGAAGCAATTTATATCATTTATTTACTTGACTGTGTTAAGATGTTTTTTCTTCCAAGTTATATGAAATGACGAATAATTAAAAAAAAAAGTAAAAGTTGTTTATCACAATCATTAAAAAATTTACAAATTTTTTTCAATAGTGACTAAAATTTTATTATACTCTAATATTTAACTTTTTTCTTGTAAGTAATTTTTTATATGTATATAAATATATATGCATATATATTTATTTGAGAAAAAATTTATCAAGAAAATCAGATAAATTATATCCAATGAAATCAAAGTTAGTATGGTGGACCTTGATTGTAAGCAATTACCGAAAATTTACAATAATTTTCTTTTTAAGATAAAATTTTTAATTGTGAATTTGAAAATTGAGAGTCACACCTTAGGAATAAAAAAAAATGTTGGTCTACATTTTCCATATATTTTCTTTTGTATAATAATTCTCATGTTACTTATCAAAAAATATAATGCTACTTTGAAAGCTAATTGAACAAGTATTTCTACATAAATAGATGATAATTATAAAATTATCCACAAAGTACGTATATCGAGTAAAGATTATTTTTTTTTGGTTATAAAAAAAGAGAAATTCACTCAATGAAAAATAATCCTTGCTGAGAGAATTTTAAGATTAAAACTTAAAATTTCAGTAAACTTATATTTGTCTAAGTTTTTATTTTAATAATAAGCTAAATAACAGATGGGAAAAAATTGATAAGAGCGGATTTTTTTAGTCGTTTTAATTTAGACCGTACATCTCAGATGAAACTATTTTATTTCTTAAGCTGAATAATTTTTAATTTATTAATTTGTTTCAGCTGACCGTAATAATTTGTACGAAATATGTCAAAATCTTAACTCCAAACAACCTAAAATAATATTATCCAAAATAACCCATGATGAATATCTGAAATCCATTCCTTCTGCCCAATTAAATCCTAACAGTGGTGAGTTTAATCCTATAAATGTGACATTCCTTAAAATTTAAAATGACTTATAAAATTTAATAATGGATGTGAGTAATAACACTACTTTCTCCTCAATTTACTTTTTCGATTTTAAATATTCTAAGCAATGTTTTTTAAATAATTTTTCGTCATTATAAAGGATCCTACGTAAAATTAAATAATCCAATGGAGTGCTTACTAGTTCATGAAAATGTTATCCCATTCAAATCCTGTTCATATATCCTAATCATAAAATTAATTGAAAGATTTTATTCTATAAATTGAAATAAAAGTAAATAACTATTGAAAACTTCAAATTATTTATTTTTTGGCAATACTATAGGTAGCTTAACGGATGGTGTAAAAAAGCAGCGAATGTTAGAAAAAAAAACTAGACCTGTTCTGAAATATACCGTACAGAATTGTCGAATCAATTTAAAGAAAATTAAAAACGTTCATTTTTTTGATAGAAAAAGTGGTAAGTATTCCCATTTTCAAAAAATTGTTATTAATAATTAGTTATCCGTTGATGATTATTAATAATTAATTTTAGAATTGATATTTTACGATTAAACTTTTAAATTATTGATATATTATCGATTTACGGTATGAAAAATAGATATTTGTTTTCGTATTCTCAAATATTTATTTGATCTACACGGGAAGAAAATTGAAGGAGTTATTACTATTTTACTATTGTAATTTTTACTAAATAAAATAGTAACGGTGGACTATACTTCTCATTTAATAATTTTTACGATCTACTATTGTAAATTTTATCCAACAAATAAGACTAGCAAGAGTTTTAAAAAGTCGTATACTATAGAGCAAATTATACAATATGTGTTTGTGAACTTTACAATTCAACTATTTTAAAAATTCACAGTTGGTTTTTTTAAAAGAAATATTAGGGAGGGAGAGAGATAGAAGGTTGCACGAATTGGTACCTGTACAGTAATCGAAAAAAGAAACAAATAAAATATTTTCGTGCTATCTGGGAATCGAACCCAGAACTCTATGTTGGTAGCCAGAGACTCTCCCTTTAGGCTATCCGCGGTAAACTAAGACTCATATCCTTTAACATTTATATAAACTCAGAGTCTAGCGCTGTGCACGGCCATCACTCACACTAATTAAGAGACATTCCAATTCAACTATTGTAAAATTTGCTAGTTCTATTGGAAAGATACAGAGGCAGCACTGGAAATTTTCATCTCTTACTTTTTACAATAGTAATATCGTATTTTTTCATTAATAAATAGTATTTTTTCTTCTAAAATATTTGATAAATAATTGTAATAAAGGTATAGTCCAGCTTTACAATAGTTGTATCGCAAATTTTTCCAGAAATTTTTTCCCGTGTAGCTATACTATATGTTATATAAAGTGCTATTTATCACCTGTAGGATTATATTCTATTAACATTACATAGTAATTATTTGAAAAGTTAAATATTAAATAATAATTCTAGTTTTTCTAAACATAAATGTTGAATAATTTTAATAAAAAATTACTTGTTATTTTTATTAAATAATATATTAATACTGCATATCAAACTTTATTAAATAATTCGATCAAACTGAATCTTTGTGTTAGATTCTGCACTATTTAATATTACAATGCCTATTATCATTCATTTATTTAAGTGGGTATTCTAGTCTAGAAGCATGATTTTCAGGTAAGTTTTTGAAATGCTGTAAAAAAAAAGCAATCCATATTTTTAGTATCCATTTTTTTATAAGTTATTTATTAACATCACAAGAATACAAAAAAAAAAAATAAAAAAATTGAAAATTCAAAAAATTAACAGCTGATGATGTGGAGGGGTCTCAAAAAAATGGCACGTGACCATGCCCACGATTCCAACCCTCCTAGCAATCGGAAATAAAAAAATAAAAAAGATTATTAATCTAGTTATGTCGCTTTGGCATGAATTAGGGAAAAGTTAAAAAAAAAAATTTTCACAAAATAGCGACTGCTTGAAAAAAAAAATTTTTTTTAATCGGAAATAAAAAAATAAAAAAGATTATTAATCTAGTTATGTCGCTTTGGCATGAATTAGGGAAAAGTTAAAAAAAAAAATTTTCACAAAATAGCGACTGCTTGAAAAAAAAAATTTTTTTTCGACTTATCGATGATCCTAGTTCATGCCATAGTGACATTACTCTAGATAAATAATCTTTATTATTTTTTTATTTCCGATTGCTAGGAGGATTGGAATCGTAAGCATGGTCACGTGCCATTTTTTTGAGACCCCGCGACTTCATCAGCTGCTAATTTTCTGAATTTTCAACTTTTTTAATTTCTTTAATTTTTTCTGTATTCTTGTAATGTTAATAAATAACTTATGAAAAAATGTATGGTAAAAATATTGATTGTTTTTTTTTCACGGCACTTTAAAAAATTACCTGAAATTCATGCTTCTAGACTAGAATACCCCCTTAAGATAGAAACAAATGAAATGAATGAAATTCACAAATTGAGTCTAGTAAGATTCTTGAAGTATTATTAGTATATACGATATTAACTTAATTGAATAATAAAAATTTTCTAATACTAAAAGTAATCTTAACAATAATAGAACTAATAATAATTTTTAAATTAATGCATTGGTAAAAATATTTAACTGATATTATTTTTCTCTTATAGGTTTTGATGCTGAAACTGAAGATTCTGATTCATCATATGAGCCAGCAGAGTCAGAAGGGTCGATTGAAAATGAGGAATATTTAGTAGCCAATGTTTCAGAAGATGAAAACTCTGATATTGAAAATACTGGGTCAGGAAATGTCGATGAATGTAACAATGTTTCTCAAAATACTTCCACTTCTACTTTAAACTGCTCTTTTAACGTTAATGGACATACTGGCTGGGATGATAGTGATGTTGAAGCTGAATTAACTGTTAAAAAAGGTAATTTGAAAAAAGATACGTGTTGTTTTTGTGAGAAAGAATATTTCAAAATTGCACGTCATTTGGAAACGGTCCATAAAACAGAAAAAGAAGTACAAGATTTTATGAAATTAGAAGAGTGCAGGCAGAATGGATCGAATAGCTTTATTGAGAAAGAGAGGAAATCATATTTATAATATGAAACAACGTAGAAAAGCAGGTGGTACGCCTGGGTTACTTAAAGTAGCGCGATGTCCAAATAAAACTTCGAAAAAAGGAGGCGGTAACTACGCTGTATGCAGTAAATGTAAAGGTTGGTACACTAAGACTAATATCCGCCATCACTTTCGTGATTGCCAAGATGGCGCTAAGAGCAGTAAAGGTATCTTAGCTAGAGCCCGACGCATCCAAGGACAAATCCATGAACGAGCATCCGATGCTATGCGTCATAAAATTATCCCTTATATGAAACTTACCGAAAATGTAAAACTGATACGGTATGATCTTATGATAATTTTATTTGGCAATGAAGAATGTACTAAGTACAAAAAGCGTAACCATGCTCAAATCATTCGTGGAAAACTGAGCCTATTAGCTCGTTTCCTTGCAGTTATGAAAGATGTAGATTCATCTGTAAGTGATTTCGCCTCAATATACACTCCAGAACGTTATTATAAGGTTATTGAAGCAATAAATAAATTTGCTGGACTAGATGAAGAAACTGGTTTCTACAAAGTGCCGTCTAGAGCGTCTGAAATCACAACTAATATTAACAAGATCGGGCAAATATTTATTAATGAGTGTATCATTAGCAAGGATCGAGTTAAGAAAGAAGATGTAGAAAATTTTTTATCACTATGTAAGCAAGGATTTGCTAATGTAATAAATCGAACTGTTAATGAGACTCGCATAACACAACAGCGTAATAAAGTAGTAAAGCTCCTTAATACAACTGATATTCAACGTTTCTCTAGGTTTTTAAATCAAAGAATCGATTATAACATCGAACTTTTGAAAAAATCATTTTCAATCAGAGCCTGGCGTGATCTTGCTGAAGCTACGCTTATTCAGTTACAGCTTTTCAATCGCAAAAGAGCTGGAGAAATGGAACGATTTGAGTTAAATGACTACAAGAAGATTCAATTTATTAAGGAAGGAGATGAAGGCTACAAATCGTTGTCCAAGAAAGAGAAAGAAAGAGCGAAAGAATTCGGCCATACTGTCATTCAAGGGAAATTGTATAAAAGTGTACCTTTGTTATTGAGTACTAAAGTTCGTGATGGGATTGACTTCGTTATGAAATATCGAAAAGATGCTCGCGTGTCTTCAAGAAATCCGCATGTATTTGGAATCGCTGGATATTACAAAGATGCTCATTTGTGTGCCAGTAGTATTATGAGAAAATTATCAGACCTATGTGGTGCTGATCAGCCTAAATTGCTTCGTGGTACATTTTTGCGTAAACAAATTGCGACCAAATGCAATGAAATGCAACTTGATCCTACCCAAACCTCAAAAGTAGCAGACTACCTTGGACATGACGTTAGTATCCATAAAAAAGTTTACCAGCAAAGAACGAGAGCTGATATATTAACTATGTCCACGATTTTACTCAAAGCTCAAAATCCTAATGACTCATGTAACAACTCCAAAGGCTCAATCGGGATAGATTCTACAATGAATGAAACAGATAAATCGATCGATGAAGATAATTCTATCAATGCAGATAATTTCATCAATGCAGATAATTCCATCAATACAGATAATTCTATCAATGCAGGTTATTAATTATGCTTTATTCTAGCGATTTAATACTGTTAATCTGTTTTATCGAAATTTTCTTTATTCACTCACGCCTTTAAAAAATATTAACTTTTAACTATAGACCGGAAATATTCCATGAGTACTCGAAAAAGTCTCAAAATTATATTTATTAACGTTGTTCAGAAAAAAAATAATTTATTTTTTTTCAAGCTCAATTATTTAAAAAGCTTTTACTGTCCAGAGAGTTAATTTTTCTTAATTTTTCTTAATTTTTCCTAATTTTTTCAATTTCTAATTTTTCTTAATTTCTTAAGCTCGACAAATTTCAAATTTTCATTATGCATATTACATCTGAGGAGCTTATTTTCAAAAGGGTATCTTTTGATTTTTGATTAATCGAGACAAAAAACTAGTTATCTTCAATTATAAATATTTGTATTGAACTTTTTTTAATTTAGCTATAAAATGCAATCGGTTATGAAGCTGCAATTCAATTTTCATTTATAAATGTTCATAATTCTCGAAGTAATTAGTATTTAAAAGTTCAGAAAACTGGTATTTTAAAATATGAAAAGATACCCTTTTGAAAATCAGCTCCTCATCTACTGTTTTTTTATTTTTGTATCTTAAAACAGTTGAAAAAATTTTCTCGAATTTTATGATATATATTCTTGTAAAATATTCAACTCTTTATTAAGAGGCTCTGATATATTTTTTTTGTTATCTTAATGATGAAAAGTTATGACGTTTCAAAAAGCTTCTAGATGAGAAATTTTAAGCATGTTGAAATTTTAATGTAATGTTTTTAATAGTACAAACTTGCAGAGCTTTTGAATAAGCAGATATTTTTTCCAAAATATTAATAGGTAGTTATTACTTTATTAAAAATGATGATACCATTTTTATTTATCTAATCAATAATTTGGATATTTTAAGAAGTAAAATTTATATTTTTGTTTAAATTTCTTCCAATATTACTTATGACATCAATTATTTTGAGTATTTATTTTTTTTCTGATTTTATTTTTCAAAAAAAAAAAGAAAAATGTTTTAAATCGTTAATCGTTAATTTATCAGCTAAGCAAGTCAGCAAGACTTGACAACTTTTGTTAAATAATGAAGAAAATCTTGCAACATAATTTATCTCTCGAAAAAATTTTCGATTATTGTCTTAAGGTGTTTTTCAGTATTCATTGATAGTAAAATATCCATTTACTTAGAAAATTTAAGTTTCTTTAGTAAGTTTAACATCTTATAAATAAATTTTTTGAGTTTTCATCCTTACTAAAACCTAACAATTTATGTTGCTTGCCAGGTTGTAAAGTTCGATATTTTTTAATCTTTAAGAATACAAAGTAAACATATCAGAACTTTTTTATGAAGAATTAAATTAAACGTACAAGAATATGCATTAAGAATATAGAAAATAGATTTTTTCAGTAATTATACCAATAGTATATAAAAAAATATTCATTTAACATAAGATATTTTTATTATTTGAATAATACTTAAAATACCACTTATCATCATTTTGTTGTATTCTTATATTTTAAATTAACTAAAAATTAACTTCTTCAATCATTAATCCATTATTGATGCATTAAATTTTATAATCGTTATTGATAAAATTTTAGGTTCCGTCGATTCTACTATGACTTCAAAAAGTCAAAACAGTCATGAAGAGGATGTGACGTGTTCTTTGGATAATTCTTATCAAGAGGAACAACCAAAATCTAAGACTATTAAAAAAATTAAAAAAAAAAAGTGAGGATTCGATAGGACGCAAAAAAATAAGTCGTAACAGGTGGAGTAGCACAGAAGAGAGGGATATTAGAGAGTATTTTGCGGAATATGTAAGGACTGAATCATACCCGTCTCTTAGTGTCATTCGAGAAATTAAGCAAAAGTATAATATTTTGGCAAAACAAAACCCCGATGTTATTAAAACAAAACTGAGTAATATTTATAAATTAAATATTGCTAAAGCAAATAAAAACGCGAATACCAAGAAATCTAATTCATTAGAGCAAAAATCTCACCAACCAGTTAAATATAAAAGTGCGTCTGTAAATAATTCAAAAATCAACAAAAGTAAATTAAATGAAAATTCTAAAAAAATGAAAAAAAGTACTGATAGATTGAAAATTAAGCAACACATAAAATATATATTCAATTCTTATATAAATAAACGCCGTGTACCTTCAGCTCAAACATGTAACGAAGCCAAAAAACATGATCAAGTACTAAAAAACTTGGAAGTTGAGTATATTCAAAGTATTATTCAGAAGGAATTGTGTAGAAATAAATGAACGACTCAGCTTTAATTATAATATGCGTAAAATCTTATAAGTTTCATATTTTGTTCTTTAATTAAATTGAATAGATTGTTACGAAAATTTTTTTCCTTTAAACGTTATTCTTTTCAACATAACGAAATTATTCTAATTAGTTTAATAATATTGCATAAAATTTATCAATTAATAGATTTTAAATAATGTTATCATTGACGAGAGTCATTGAATTGATTTGCCAAAACAAATGTATTTTATTTTTCTACATTTTTATGATTACTCTTATTCAAATTTTGCTTTAAGAAATAAGCCAAAAAAGTGAAAAATAATTTAAGTATTCCAATATTTGTTAATTAAATCCATTTGTGATGAAGATATTCTTTATTGAAAATTATCATTTGATTTTAATGTTATTGTGCAGAAAATAATTCATAAATGTATCAATACATATTATATTCATGAGTTAAATAAATAAATTCTATTACAAAAGTTTCATTTTCTTGAGTAGGTAAACTTCAATAACTTAAATGTTTTACAAATAAAACTTAATTGTAAATTTTCTCTAGACATAACCTGTTTATATTTAATTTTTCTTGAACGTTGATTGGTCTTGAAGCATGTACATTTTATTTTTGAAATTCGATATTGATCATTAATTTGTTTTAATTGCTCACCAATTACTTGCAATTATCATTAATTTGCATTTTGGTGTCAAAAAGAAATACTTATTTTTACAATACTTTTCATGATAATACGAATAATTTGCGACTACTAAGAATTTTAATTATTCCTAACATAAATTATTTGTAGAAAATTCATTTTCCTCTCAAAAAGATTCAGTAATGCTTTTTGATGAAGTTGATCAGTTTACCAAATAAAGTGACAAAATAATGGAAAATGACGAATTGACGAATTCACCATTCAACCTCTAATGATTTTCGAAATAGTGAACTTTTGAAAAAAAAAAAAAAATGCTAACAACTAATATTGTAAAACAAAAAATTTCTTTTGAAGATTTATTTTTTTCTAAATATTGATTTGATACACTGATAGGAATTTTAACTTGACTCAAGAGCAAAAATCTGGAACCTAGAACACCAATTGGAAGAAAATGAATTTCTTGAGCCAAGAGGAAACATTTTTGGGTCAAAATATATTTTCTTAATTCAAGAGAATCTATCTTGATTCAAGAATTTTTCCTCTTGGCTCAAGAAATTCATTTTCTTTCAATTAGTGTTCTTGGTTCAAGATTTTTGTTCTTGAGTCAAGTTAAAATTATTATCAGTTTAGTAATTGAAAAAAATAGTAGGTACATCTGAATATTACTATTAATGTCTCGAATTGTAACAGAATTTTTTTCGTCTAGATTCAAATTATTTAGTGCAATTTAATCAAGTTTTGTGTATCTAGAAATGAATAATTGCATTTAAATTAATAAATCAAAAAATTTCAGTTATGTATGAAGAAAATTTTTTTCCGGAATTTTTGACTAAAAACAACATTTTAATGCGTCGAAGACTTAAAATTTACTTGACAGTATTCGATCCGTTTTTCCAAAAAAACAATGTAATTGTAGTTTTTTTAACGAATCGATTTGAAAACTAGAATGTGATTAAAAAAAAGTTTGTTGAGATGAAATTTTGGAATGGTAATAACGTTTACTAAACGGAATTCAACGTAGTTGCTGAAATATTGAAAAAAATCAAGAATAGTAAGTTGGTTGGTCAAATACTTCAAAGAATTTATAAAAAAAATGGTTTTTTTTTTAATTTCTGTAATGGTAATAACTGGAATAAATAATTTTTGCCAGTTCAAAAAGTGCTTTGATACGGTTCTTGCTGCGGCCCATCCTTGAAATTTTCCTGTAATTTCAGGCTCAGACGATTAAAATAAAACTTCTGAAAAAATTATGAGCTCTCCAAACTTAAAAATTCGATAACCTTACGTATCTGATATTTGAAAATTTTTGAATACCGATATAAACGGAAAAAATAGTCGATATCTAAATATTTGTTAGCAAAAAACGCAATCTTTCCAGCACTAGTGCGATAAAAAAATCCGAGGAATAATTTGGAATTTAGACAATGAAATGGTTGATTTTCCAGACTTTAAATTGCAATGTCTTTGAAACCCCTCAATCGATTATGAAGAACTTGGCAGAGCTCAATGAAGTTTCTTATTTTCTACGTAAGATTCCCAATTTTGAACTTTGCGCTAAGAAAATTGAAAATTTTCAAAAATCGGGAAGTTATTGGTTTTACCCCGTTTTGCGGAAGTCGAGTTTTCATCAGATCTCGACGTTTTAAGGTCACCCATGATTAAAAAGATTGATTGAAAAGTATTGGGAATTAGTCACCCCATGTAAACTGTATATCTATATTAGGGTGTGCCAAAATGTAACTTCCTTGATGGACCTTTTAAAATTAGAATTTTCAGTTCCGCTTTTGAAATAAGCTGTGTTTAGGCCTTTCCTAAGATATTTTGGGGTAAGACGATAGATTTGATTTTCATAGAATTTCTAGCAGGAGGTTTAATTGGGCACTTCCGGCCAAAATTTGAATTTTCAGC